AGGGAGGAGAGAGAAGAGGAGAAATTGAGCAAAAACAAGTTTGGTTTGAAGATGCCATAATGAGACATACAGTGAGTGCCAAGTAAATATTAATAATAAATTACTGTTAGGAAAAAAAGACTTGCCTCATCAAACTTTGCAGTACCCAAAAACCTTTATATTAAGGGGACACTTGAGGTCAAGCAGAGCCAGAGTCTACTAGAATGATGTGACATGTCACATATGGTCACCTTTGCTTCCAAAGTTGTTGTTGTTGTTTTTTAAGACTTTATGCTTGTTTCTCCCAGCCTTTGCATACACCCAGTGGCTTCGTTTCTTCTGTTCAATTCAAGAGCCTCCAGATTGGTGCAAAGTAACTCACATGCAGGTTTGCGACTATTATGAACTCACTTTGGAACCCAATTATTATTGCATCCATGCATGTGACTATTTCTAGGTAGGAATAACGTTAGTGTATTAACATGATCTCGTGCCAGGACGCCTTGCGGGGTAGTTTCCTGTCAGTTCTTTTATTTCTTCTAAAAGAGTTTAGTGCTCGAGGTTTCCTAAGTGTGTTTTAAACACTGTTTCTGATAGATATTAGCACTGAATAATTAGGGATGGAGGATTTACACTACATTTTTTTCCCCTGTCTTCTGAGTAATTGCGGTGAATTGCTCACTTCAGATAGATCAGGAGACCACCAGGCCTGGCCATCGCTAGGTGTCTAGTTGTTTTGCTGGGTTTGGAGAGATGACTCAGCACTTGCTGTTCTTCCAGAGAACCTGGGTGAGATTTCCTACACCCACATGGCAGCTCATAGCTGCCTGTTACTCCGGTAACTGCCCATATCTCTTCCCCAGGGAACCGATAGCCTCTTCTGGACTCTGGGCATCAGTCACACACGTGGTGCACTGGCATATGGGTAGGCAAAACACGTATGCAAATTTAAAAAAATCGGCATTCCTTTGTTGTTCTGAGCCTTCAGTTTGCCTCTTGTCACATGCAAAGATTGCTACCATTACCAATATCACCAATCTCAGCTCCCTTCGTTGCTCTGATTAATCTGCACGGAAACACATATATCGAGCTGTTAACAGTTATCAATGTGAAATACAACTTCTCAATAGATTGTTATTTGACTATTATATATGATATTTTATGTTACATTATTATACATTCATTATTAAGTTATGCTATTTAAGGCAAGCTCATCTTTATTTATTCCTTCCTAACCTATCTCAAATATTCTGAGATAACTGTACCTCTTCCTGCCTGGGTCCAGGCACTGTACACTGTTGCTGGGAGAACACTAGTTGATTAAATTTCTTTTTAAAGAGTCTTGACCTTTCAATGTTCAGTCCTGTAGGTGTGAAAATAATTTACATTTCTCCTCAGGATTCCTAAAGTCTTCCATTTAATTTCTAGATTGGTCCATTGTAGGCCTCTCCTAAATATCACATTATGAAGTTGTGCATTACCTGTAGGCCAGAGCAATTTTACTTAAAAAAAAATCTTGATTAATTTGAACATAATCAGCCAGTATGTCAGATGATTTCACTGTTTCTGATCGATGCTGACAGGTGAGAAAATTAAAATCAGGGAGGGAAGCAATTAAAAACTGACAAAAATTACCTTAATGAGACAACTGGATCATTTATAAGCTGTGGAATATGTTGTATTCTTGAGAAGTATCTTAGAACGGTGGGGGAGATAGTGCAGTGAAAATCACTTGGGTTTTGATGGCCAGAGTTGGGGGTCACCCATACTTGTCATTTAATACCTTTGTCCTAATCTAACATTTCAGTTGCTTCTGGGGACTGAATCTCACATTTAACATCATAACATCATTTACTTTAACTAGATCTTCCTATAAGTAATCTTTTTGCCATTTTAAATTTATGAAAGTACAAAAATGTAGATGAAATAACTTTCGGTGTTCTCTAGATGGTTTCTAGGCAGCCATTGTCTAGACCTCCGAGAAGAGAAACTCAAAACTCTACATTTCCTCACAAGCCGTAGCCATTCAACTGTGGAAGTCTACAGGAGACCAGGTCCTCAGTGCTCTATTTGGAGGGTTCTGTGCTTGGCAACGTTCCCTATTCGGACATCTCTGGGATGATGGGCTAACTTGATATCAGTAGAATTGTTTTTCCCACAGAAGTCTGTTTTATTGCTCATTTGTTAGCTTAGGTTTTGCTTCTTAGTCTGCTTGTTCATAAGTTTTTTTTGTTTTTGTTTTTTCATTACCTCCTTAGGGTTTATACTTTGTTTGAAGTGATAGATTTGAACCATGGTTTGTGAAAAAGCCCCTTGAAATGGTCTCTGTTGTGTGTCATGGTCTGTGTGTGTGTGTGTGTGTGTGTGTGTGTGTGTGTGTGTGTGTG